GTATGGATTGGAAGGCAAACTCATGGGTTAAAGCAGGGGCCTTCAAACTCGGCCCTTTTATGACTCGTGGACTTCAACTCCCAGAGTTCCTCAGCCTGGCTGAGGAATTCTGGGAGTTGAGGTCCATGAATCATAAAAGGGCCGTTTGAAAACCCCTGGGTTAAAGTGTAGGGCAGTGGGCTTGGCATAGCAAAAAAGAAATGGATGGAATAAACAGCATGAAGTGGCCTTTGCAGTAACATTCCTCCTCACCTTCCAAACTGAGAAAATAATTTTAGATTGGCATTTGCTAATCTGACACCCTTCCAAATCTAGTGGGACCGCAATTCTCAGACAGTACTGTTGACATGGACTTTATAGTCCTAACACAGTGGTTCTCAACCTTTTTAATGCCGCGACCCCAACCGGTCGTAAGTCGAGGACTAAACCGGTAGTAAGTCGAGGACTACCCAACCGGTCGTCGAGGACTTTCCCTGCCCAGGAGCGCCACGCATGGTTCTGCCCCCCTGCGCCGGCCGAGGCGTAGCTGGCAAGCGGCAGAGACAGAGCAGGCTGACTACCAGCTGGCCCAGTCCAAGGGAGGTAAGGCACCCGCTGGAAAAGGGGGAAAAATGGCGGACAAAGAAAATGGCGGAACGCCTTGCTTGGCGACCCCCATGAAATGGTCAATCGACCCCAAATGGGGTCCCGACCCACAGGTTGAGAACCACTGTCCTAACACATCTGGAGGACACCAGCTTGGAGAAGAGTGAAAGTTTACATCTGTTATGAAAACAAAAAAGTGAAAGCATGTGGCATTCACCCAGAACATGAGATATGACAATATTCATAAAACATTCAGTCAAAAAGCAACATTAAACCTCAGAAAAAAATTACGCTCAGTGAACATTTTAGGGAACATTTCTTTAAACTGAACCATTCCATATGAGAAAGAAGTGTTTTTTCCCCCCACAGGAAAGAAGAAATTGCTAACACTCCAGCCTTCCCTTGTCAGAGGTTTTCACACACTTCTGCCCCTGGAAATAAATATTCTTCCAACCTCTTGGATGTGAAGAGCCCTGCAGAGGCAGTGGCTTTCCAGTCTATGCACAGCTGGTGCCCCAAACAGCATCGATGACTAAACACAAACATCTGTCCTACACAGCTGCTGTAAGACTGGAGAAACCCATGAAACAGAATTACTGGAGAAACCCATGAAACAGAATTACAGAAGTGTTCCCAACAAATATATCAAAATGTGTGAGTCAAAAATCACAAACTTATGTCAATCTCTCAATAGATCATTCCAAATTATATAGGTTTTGCCGGCTCTATATTTGGTATCAGTGCCTGAATTGTTCTTACAAAGGACTATAAAACTATCATAGAAGAAAAGGTTATATTATGAGACTGTAACAAAGAACTTAAACACTCCTGATGAATGTCTGTGGCCAGACATGGTATCTTCAGAAAATGATGCAGTTGTCCCATGAATTTTAAATGTTGGTTTCAGCCAACTGATTAAATCAAGGTACCCATTGTTGACACTAAGGATATACCTAAATTGTGACCCTGACACTCAAAGCATAATCTCAGTCAACACAGGTTTTTAATCTCCTGTCACCGTAGTTTGTTCACTTTTGCAGGGAAAAAAAAAGAGTTGGCACTACCAGATGTATTGAATAAAGACAATCCTTTATTGTATTTTCCTTTGTGTAATATAATTATTAAATTATAATAATTCCCATTTATTATCCTTATTTATTTATTAGATATAGAAAGGTAAAGCATCACACTTGAGGTTATGCTAGAAACATGGTAACATCCATGCCAAAAAAATATTTGGCGGTTATTAAGCAAAATGTCTTATGGCTACACTGAACTTCCATTGTTTTTCATTGCAGTCATTAAGCAAATCAACCATGGTCATTAAGTGAGGCATCCTGTGACTGAAATTTGCCATTTTAATGCTGGCTTCTCCATTGACCCTGTGGGAAGCCAATTGTGAAGTCTGCAAATGGTGATCATGTGACTGTGGGACACTGTGAGGGTCATAAACACCTGAAAGTTGCAAGGGATTTATGGTCAAATTTTGATCAGATGACCATGGGAGGCATGGGGAGGGAAAACTAAATAGTAATGGCTTGCTGCTTCTGAGCAAGTGTGCTGAGTACAACCTGAGCATTACTAATATATTTTCAGACTTGCAAACAAGTACAAAACAACCTGGATACATCCCAGGTCCAAGTATCACCACCTACTTGACCATGTCACAGTATGTCAGCATGTCCTTAAAGATGTCATCATCACTTAGCCCATGCATGGTGCTGAGTACTGGATATATCACAGGCTGGTCTAGTCAGTCCTCAACCTGCACATAGTCCCATTACATTGTAAGGAACCAAGGGCTGCCAGAACATCATTCAACATCAGCAGACTCCAAGATCCAGGCCAAGTTTAACGTGTTCAAGATATATTTAATGAAAAACCCTCTGGCAACCTACCACTTGTAGGGCCTGTTTTGAAAAGTGGACATAGCTTAAAGATGTCATTACACAGACTGCATCAAGTGTACTCAATTTGAAAAGCCAGATGCACCACGAAGAGTTTAATGAAAACCATGAGACCGTTTCAGTAGCCCTCTGGACCAAGAATAAGGCCTATGCTGGCTGGCTGAATAATCCACCATCTACAGTATCTCAAAGAAAGATAAGTTTAAACATCCACGGTCCAAAGAACAGGCAGAACTGTGAGAAATGCAGAACTAGTAGTGGCACAAGAAGGCTGATCAGGTGAAATGCTATGAAGAGATGCATCCGATCAGAGTTTTTCAGCACCAAAGTTTTGCAGCCTGGAATGCAAAATTCCATGCCTTAAGGAATTAAAATGTGAATCTCCATGTGTAACATCCATGGCCAAGAAGATATTTTATCATCATGAACTAACCAACTGTATATCCGTACTTAGAGAAGAGATACTGTATTTATCTTCCACAACTCATGCACTGATTATCTTAAAGCTGGATTATTGCAATATATTCATATTCAAAAATGTACCAGGAATTACAACTGATCCAGAATGCATCTCTGCTGATGAGTGGTACCTAAGGCCCTAAATCATTTCTATGTTCAAAAAGCTCCACTTGTCTTCCAAGCCCAATTCAAAGTGTTCACAATGGTGTATGAATCCATTCATGACCTAAGCACAAAAATAGGTTGGCTTCCTCCTGCCTTGTCATATCTACGCTCATGAACGGGGTACCACTTTCTGGTCCTGCTGTAGATAAAATTTGTCTGAAAGGATCGTTTCTGTTTTGTTCCATGGTAGAGTCTATATTATGGAACCAAGTGCCAGTCAAGTTGAAGTAAACCCTTTCCTTGTTAGCAGTTTTTTTGAGTGAACTTAAAACATTTATTTAACTGTGTGGTTTATATCTAATATGCTTTTAATATTGTTTTAATTGACATTTTTATTCTACCTTTGTAAGTCAGGCAGATCCATTAACACCCTGGAAGTATAAAAATGTATTAAACAAATAAATAACTTACACATTTCTGACTGATTGTAAATGACTGATTGTAAATAACATTTACACATCTCCAGCTGTAAATGTTTGTCTATATTTTAGAGACAGTTGTGTGTGCGCGCGCGTGTGTGTGTACATACACACAAATATACATCCAGATAAACTTTAATTAAGATCATATTTGATGTACTTATTGAGTGCATTTTTATAGAAATGAGAATGGTAAAAACATTACAAGATGAAAAGCACTGATCTCTATATGAGAAACATTCACAGGATATTACATGAAAATAAAAGCAATAAATAAAAGCATTTTCTCAAAACATGTGATTGTATTCAAAATTTATTTTTAAACAAAACAAGACAATCAATCTTAAATAAACATGGTATTCTTAACATGTTGACAGACAATTTGAGATTAAGCATTTTGAACCATTGCTCTGTTCTGTCACAGTGCCCTCTTACAATATTTTAAAGGTTTTTTTCCCAAATCAACCTAGATTTCTTATACAAGAAATTAAGTTGTATATTAAGGTGAAGCATCAGTTCCCTTTAAGTCATAAAGGTTTCACTAATGCATGCACACACGCACACACACACTTCTCTTACATAGTTCTTCATAGGTCTCTCTCACCCACATATGTACACACACACACACACACACACACACACACACACTGAAGTCTGTCCAGCCTTTTTGGTTTTTGTATTACACTGCATATGATGATCAGCATCAAGCCAAGTCAGCTAAGCTTCACTTTAGCAGTGCAATGGATGGCATCAACCAAACTTCATAAAACAAAGAGAAATATACCAACATCATAAGCAAAATTAAGCTAGGTATCAGTGATAACAACAAACATGATAAAAACACAACTGGAATGGCTCATAACCAGACTAGTTTGCAATATGCAACCTTCCTCAGGAAGCAGCTCTTCCTGATTCACATGTAAAGAATGAAACATGCATTAAAAGCCTTTGTTCAAGGAAAAAGATGCCCTTCAAAACAATTTCTGTAATGTCATAAGGCAAACAAAGCTCTGGGGAATGTTTCATAGGATTTGTCTGCACACAAAAATGTGCATGCTTAAACACGCACCCTATTACTTTACACTGTGTGTATACCAGACAATTAAATGCACTGGCTCAGTAAATTGGAAAAACATCCAATTCCATAAATACTCATAATTATTGCTAATATGCTACAAATTTTGCTCTTTATCACAGAAGTGTCACAACCTAGGACTTATAGCTGTCTTGCTGGCAATGCATTTTGCAAATGTCCTTTATGGTGATAACATGCCATGCCCACAGGGTTTTTTTTTTTGGGTGGGGGGAAGCAACATAAGTACAAATACAAAAGAAAACAAAAGGCTTAATGCAGTGCCCCTCTCAATTTGCTTTGTGATCAAAGTCACATTTAAACAAGTCCAGTTCACCATGTTAAGAGCAATCCAATAATGGGTGGGAGAACAAACTGAGTAAAAGGGGTGGGGGTGGGGAGAGAGAAACAGCATGCATTTACAAATTGGTTATTACCTATTTTTTTTCTCTTAGCAATTACAGCTTGAATACAAAAACCCAATTGAAAGACCAGATTAATAGAAGGAAAAAAATCCAAAAGAAGATCCAGTTGATAATTAAAGCTTACAAGTTCAAATCAGTAATAGCAAAATCATCTTGCCTTTTAATATACTGACATCTATTGCAATTCGATACTTAAGGATGACTAGTGTAGACAGAAAGATGCCCACTTAAAAAAAGATAATAAATACCTGCTTCATGGAGTTACATTCTTAAGAAGACAGTAAGAAAATAGTTCATATGTGAAATGTTTCTGAAATGCATCCCCTCTCCCCATAACTATCAAATGTTCACTTACAGAGAAACAAAAACACCCCTTTAAAAAAGTCAGAATGGGAATGGAGAAGATTAGCTAGGCTAATTACAGCACAGTGATTAAAATGGTTCAAGACAGAACCAGTTAGAGTTGGCCAAAAGATGCCCCCCATTGAAGCACTAATTCTTCCCGTGTTCCACATCAAACTTCTGGCTCACTGCAGAGACCAAAATAATTTAATCTGTATATACCCAGAGATACACATTCTGCTATTCCTAAGGCCGAGTTACCTTTTCATATTTGCTGTGCAGCAACTGCAAGAGGTAGGCATAGATCATCTAAAAAGCTTCTCTCCTTGTGCCCCACCACTTGTACTTTCCAAAGCTAACCACTATTGTATTACATTGTTAGCCTTTTAGTGGATGCAGTTCAATGACCAGAAGACCATTTGGGACAAACGTATAGCTGTGCTTTGCATACATCCCACAGATTTTCAGTGGACCTATGCAGAATTTATTCCCAGTAGATTATGTCCTTTGATTAATAGAGAGTAGCTTTTGCTATACTGAAAGATGCTATTTGTAGAATTTGCTGCAGAACATTCCTAAGAAAAATGAATCCTGGAACCAATCCTCTTGATTTGATTTTGTACATAAAAACAAGGTACCATTTGGCCAAGACTACAGATGTATCTTTTTTTTTTTCACAGATGCAAGTGCCATGCAAAATAAATTAGGGAACAGATATGAAAACATACAGGTAATAAAACTATTGAAGGTAGATCTTTTAAAAGCATTTATAGAAACATAATTTGTAATACTTTCTCTTTTTTTCTTTTCTTGAAATACAGTCACAAAGCTGTGGCTATACATCGAGGATCTCCTCTGCAGTGCCTCCACAGCGTAATCTGTAGCGTCCTGTCCTCCAGCTAATAGTAGGATCCCACAAAGCTGAGAGGAAAATGTATATCGTCATGGATTCTCTGATGAACCATGCTACTGCATAGTCAAGTTTTGAAAAACACAGAGTACCGCCCTGGGGGATTATATGAACAGAAGTTCACAATTAGTAACAATTTCACCAACTAAATTAAATATTTACTTAATAAGCTTAAATTAAAAAAAGATTACCATAAGATGCAGAAAAAAGTAAGTAGCTTAGGAATTACTTTTTAACTATTATTTCTAGTACTCCAAGTGAATCCGTAGCTCATATTTTTAAGAAACAACTATTCTAAACCCAGTTAAATAGAAACTAAAGGCTCTATGGGACCTTTAATAAAAGTATGAATAAAAACACTTTTAATTTTATATAGATAAATTAGTATCCTGAAAACATGGCATAGATCGTGGTGCTTCACAAGAACTGCTCTAGATTTGAGGTACAAAGAGGCCAAATACAGGTAGTCACAATTGGGACCAGAATTTCCACCGCTAACAAGGCACTTGTTAACGGAGTCGTGCCTGACTTTACTACCTTTTTGCCATGTTGTTAAACAAATCACTGCAGTTGTTAGTGAATCATGCAGTTGTTAAGTGATGAGGGTGAAGGCTCATTCTCTGAGCTTGTGGGTTGGTTTCTGGACATTTCGTTACCAGGCTAGGTAACATCTTCAGCAACGTTTAAGGGATGTCTGTGTCAGTGCTCTGTGCTGTGTCAGTTGTTAAGTGAATCTGGCTTCCTCTATTGACTTTGCTTCTCAGAAACCAGCTCGAATGATTGCAAATGATGATTATGCTGGTTGCCACATGTCTGAATGTTGATGTGACTGTGGGGATGTTGTGACTGTTTAGTGTGAGAACCAGTTTTAAGTCACTTTTTTTCAGTACCACTGTAACTTTGAATAGTCACTAAACCAGGGGTCCTCAAACTTGGCCACTTTAAGACTTGTGAACTTCAACTCCCAGAATTCCCCAAGCCAGCAAAGTGGCCAAGTTTGAGGACCCCTGCAACGAAACAAATGGTTCCAATTCAACGGCTACCTGTAACTGCCAAAAAGTACACTGCTTCCTCAAGGTCTTCTGGGTACATATATGGATCACCAGAAGACAATTCTACTATGCCAGCTTCACCTTACAGACTCAGAGGGACATGCTGAAGGAACTACATAGCCTTGTTTCTACAGTGTTATCAGTACATGCAAAATTAATCATTGTGGCATTGTTTATTTAAATTCCCCACCCAGATGTCAGACACCTAACCCCCACTGTCACTTTTTATGACATTCCTTCTCTGTTTCAGAGATTTTTAACTCTCCACATTTTGGGGGTGGGGGAAAAAAAACAGACAACATAAGAAAGAAAAGGAATTAAGCAAAAACCTAGGTGTCTTCAATATTCGTGCAAATAAAATATTCATACAAAAAAGCATGGTAATTAATTTGCAAAAGAATCTCTATTATATCCGAGTCGTCATTCAGTACAACCTACCTGGACAGCCCTGAGTTGAATGTAGTCAAATATAAACCATGCCAAACAATGACACATAAAAAACACCATTATGTCCCATCTGAACACGTGATGAACTGCCCATCCAATAATCAAACTCGCAACAAAGCATTCTGAGATTGGCTCACAGATTATTGTGGCTGGAAGCATGTTAATCCGTAGTTTGGCCCACCTATGTTTAAGAAATTAAAAAATATATATATTTAAACAGGGGAACACTTGTTCTTATAACAACAATATCTATTTCTGCTTTCAGAAATTGATAAATGAAAGTTAATCAGTTTTCAGTTCATTAGTTTTCATGACGAACAGAGAAGTTATTTAAAGCTTACAGGCTTTTTGAGATAAATCACTAGCTATGTTTTTTATTGAGTAAATCAGATATGTGATAACCTTAAATATCTAAAATGCTTTCAAACAAACCTTCTTTCATAATTAGACTTTCAAAGCCACTGACCCAGCCTCTTTCCCAAAACTAACAGAATGAGCCACTTATAGGGCATCTCCAGTTAAAGGTAGTATACACAAAACTACTAGCTGTTATATTTACTGTATTATCTTTAATACTGGTGCAAGGTTTTAAAAGACTTCTGCTAATCTGGGGAAATCTGGTATAAAATGAATTTTTTAAAGCTGGTACTCTTTACTTATTGAGCATCGAAGATAAGACAGCAATTTTATTCATTCTTACTCAGGAGTGAAGACTACACAATACTATGGATCTCAGTGCTGCACTACAAGAATTGGAATTAGAGTAACACTGGATTAAAAAGCAAGTGAAATTAGAATCCAAGGGTAACATTTTCAGGCTGACAACTAGTTAACTCATTTTACTTTATGAATTATATTGTACTAACAGCCGGACTTTCACCAAGTGCCAGCATTTTTTCTTAAATAAAATATACTAGCTGAAAATAGGTAGATGTAGATCTAATAAATGTTACCTCAGTAGACTTGAATTTGAGGGAAAAGAGAGGACTATAATAAAGTGATAGATCTATAAAGAATGATTTACCTGCTGAAAATCTAACCCAAATCCTAACCCTACACCCTTCACATTTAATACTTCAGATCCAGCTCTGAGCAGTTTGCAATAACTCTACAATGTCATCTACCGTATTAGAACCAACATAAACCAGAAATGAATCTGAAGTTAATTGTGATTTCTAGCACAACAAACACATAAATAGATTTCAGAATTACTATCAAGGACAATCTGCTGAAACCAGACTTCTCCAGGACGAATACCACATCCAGGTACAGTCAAAATTATTAGGCTCTGACTCGCACATGATTGCTTTTTAAATGTTCAAAAACTAAAATGCATATGTAGTAAGAACCAACTTAGAACAGAGGAGTCATTGCTTTGATGTAATTGTGTCCCCTTTCATTTACGAGTTCACATAATACCAACAAAATTCAACATAACTATGTATTTAGCTTACAATGTAGAAAGTAATTGGTTTTGTATTCTGAGTGGTCATTTTGTATCTTGTTTCATTCCCAGCATAATTTTGTGTCTGCCTTTACTTAGTGAATCTCAAGATTTTAGTTAAAAAAAATAATAAAAGAATAGATATCCTTTATGCCTAAACTCTTTCTACATTTCTCTATATGAAACAAAGATGATTTGCCTAAATTAATTATGACTGGCATGCAGCTGGGCACTGTATTAGTAGTGCATATAAAGTCCAGTTTCATCTGACATGACTTGAAAGCCAAACTCCTGAGTCTAGTTATTAATTACAAAATCAAACACAATAGAGAACATTTCAGAAAATGAAATATTTATTAATATGTGGCTGCCACAAATTTAATCACAAAATATAAATAATAATAATAAATAAACTGTCAGAATAAACTGTCAAAAATCCACACTATTGATTGAATAGAAAAAGAAGAATAAATAGAACTATATATTTCATTAGGTTTGATTGGAACTTCTCCAAAACATACACAAAGTTGAAGGGATCAATAAATGAGATAATAAAAAGTCGGGTATTTTTTTTACCTTATCATTCTGGACTGAAACTGTGAAATTGAATAACAGCCAGAGTTTTGCATTGCAACTTGTGTAGCCATTTGAAATTTCCAACCTCTGAAAGAAGGAATATAACCAAGATAAATAATCTAATGTTGAAGAATGTTGGTTAGCCATTTTTCTAACATTGGAAAGGTAAACACTAATTGAGTTTGCTTTTTAAATACTTCATAACTTGACAGTGTCTCGAGATCTAAACTGGGATTTTCGGTACAATATGTTTAATTGATCTTGCTAACACGTACTTCGGGATAGAATGTAAAGATCACGAGAGTGTTTGACCCATCCCGTCGAGATTGATTTTTTTTAGATATCCGTGTCAAATTTATAAGGAATTCGGTCCCCACAGTTTGAGTGTTGCAGTACACTGCACAGACGACATATCACGATTTTTTTCCCATTGCCGGCAATGGGGTGGGCGGCGTTTCGGCATGACGTTTCCGGCCTGTGGGCCGTCAGTTTGACACCCCTGCCTTAAGCACTATAACTGAAATACCATGTCAAGAAAAAGTTTTCTGTTTAACATGTAACTTTTCTAAATTTCATATAGTTTATATGGTGAGGCAAGTAAGTCGCATCTTAAAGTTTGAAGTCACATTTCCTCTTGAGCTGCATAGTGTAATTCTATAACCATATAGCTTGGCTCTTAATTGCATTTGTATAGGTTATGACTGAAATTTCAATTTTTCTCTTACCTTGTGATTAACTCCAGATCACTCACTTTTAGAATACAAATATGATCAATTCAGAGTGCTGTCTGTCACCTTTAAAGCACTACGTGGCAGGACCATCTATAACCAATTCTGCCCATCCCACTTCATCTAGCAGGATAAGCATGTTTCCTGGGCCTTCAATATTATTCATTGTTTGATATTTTGAATGGTTTCTATTGTATTGTGTTTTTATTTGCTTTCCAGAGTTTCTTCTGAAGGCTGAGTGGCCATATAAATTTGTTTAATAAATAAAATAAACAAATATAATCAAAATATATAGACACTGCATGATAAAAGCACAGGCCCAGTATCATAATTGCTTATTTCTTTTAATCATCCTGTTAACTGGAAAAACCTGAATAAAGTTTCAAATTTTTTTGAAAGATAAATGAGACAAATTCCTCTCAGATGTAGGAGAGCTTTAGCTAGGTGATGTAAATAATTATGTGAAAATAATATAACTCTGTACAGAAAATAAATTATGATAGCTTGGCCTTAGCATAAAAAAAAAGGAACTTCCTATTTGTAACTTCATTTTGATGGGAAAAAATTCTGAAGATGACAGAAGATGAACCAGTTTAAGTGTGTTCCAGAACTCTACTATACAAACAAGTAAAAACATGGCAGATTATGATAAACATTATAGGTGAACTTTTCCTGAGAACATTATCATCATACCTGTCAGCTATTGCTTTAGCCATAAAGTAATCTTCAGCAATATACTGTGCAAAAGCTATAAGTCCTCCAGCTTGGTCCAAAACATCTTTTCTCATCAAGCAAGACATCCCTGTCACACATTTAAAGGCAGTCATATGTGCAGAAATATATGTCCTTGGATGGGAAGTACCAAAATATACCTTTAAAAAAAAAACATGCCAAAGTGATGGTCCTGTAGCGTCCCTTATTATTACATTTAACACTTGCCATAGATTTTTAAATATCTGCCTGCACAAATATACCAGAGGTAACACAGTCTTGTGAAAATATGCAATAAATGTTTCAGTTTCCTTGGATTTTTCCAGCCATTTGTAACATCTTGCTCATCTTGTATAGAAAAGAACTTTGTCATTATGCAGTCATTATTTCATTATTTAATGAAAATTGTAATCTCCAAATGAAGATTGCTGTTGTTTCTGTATTGATCTGACTGTAGATTATCTTAAAACTGAAGTTCTTAAGAGTACTTTGTCACTACTTCTGTTAGTGAACATATATCAATGGATAAATATTCATCTACCTACGAAATGAGCCCAGAACATAAAGCAGTTCTATGAATTTATCTATATTGCCACTTTTCAGTTTAAGTACAATAGAAATTATGGGGTATAGCAATAAAAGGGGGAAAAACGGGAGAAGGAATACAGGGATGCAACAAATATTTTGCTCCAATGCTATTTTTTAATCCAATAACAATAAACTATTTTTTGTATTATATATGAT